TAGCAGCCTTACGTAAGTTACGTATAGCAGCTTTAAGTACGTTAATTCTTTTTATACAGCATTTATTAATCAGATTTACTAATCAAATTTACTAATTAGATTACGTACGGTAAAGCACGTATTATAACCGAGTTATAGCCGAGCTATAGCCGAGCTAAGCACGTGTAGCAAAAGGACGTGCAGTATACAAGGTTTCTTTTCGTATAGCATTTACTAATCAGATTTATTAATTAGATTTACTAATTAGATTTATTAATTAGATTTATTAAGCGAAGCGTTCTTTTTTTGTTCCGCGTCGAATTCGTGTTTCAAATATTATAATTCACTTTTGTTAAATCGAAGCATTGCGATTATTATTAAGCGACGCGTTATTTTTTTTCGTTCCGCGTCGATTTATTGTTTTAAAACGCGTTATTTTCTTTGTTCCGCGTTGATTTATTGTTTTAAATATTATAATTCACTTTTAATAAATCGAAGCAATGCTTCGATTACGATTAAGCTACACTTTTATTTTTATATAAATACTCGCTTTCTTTCCTTTTCTTTTTCTTTTTTTCATTATTATTACAACTACTTTTTATTTAACTTTTTAACCTTAACCTTAATACTTAACTTCAACTTCTTAACCTCAACACTTAACTTCTTAACCTCAACTTCAACACTCAACTTCTCAACTTTAATACTCAACTTTTTAATTAACTTTAATACTCAATTATAACTATACTCAACTTAAGTAATTATTTTCTTTTTGATTCTTTGCTTTTTGATTCCTTGCTTCAAGCTAATTATTTTCTTTATTTAGCAATATCGATTCTTTTCTTTTATAACGCTATAATCGAAGTCAACCTTTTTAGCACCGGTAGCAACAAGCTAATCAACGAGATACTTAGTCGCTATAAAGATTTCGTAGTCGTTTATGCTAATAATAACGTTGTTAATTCAATGTTTACTTGCTATAACGAAGAAGATACCGCTTTATTTTTAAAATTAATCGGCTTCGATTACGAATAGAAAGGTCGCAAAAGTTTTATCGATAAGTTCGGCATTAAGCATTACGGTGTTAACAAAGTTAATAATAACATTTATATTTTATAATTATTAATTGATTTTTTATTTAAAAAGAGAGCGCTTAGATCTTTTATCTCCTCGATTACTTTGTCTTTTTCTTTAACTTAATTAGAAAGCAATTCACTTATAAAGATGTCAAGGTTCGATTGATCTTAAGTGATTTTACTTTTAAGCTTTTCGATAGCGATCATGCCGAAGTTAAAAGCATCTTAAAAGAGTTATTAATGCTATACTCTTTTACTATCGATAACACTTTAGCATATAAACGCTTCACTTTTAAGTTCTCGAATAAAAATGAGTTTAAGTAAAGTAATAAGTGCTAAAAGCTAAGAGAGCTACTTAAGTCAGACGAGATTTATCTAAATTATACTTACAAGCAAAAGCTTAAGCCAAAAGCGGAGACCGAGTTGAACGTATTTTACGTAACTGCAAAAGGACGGGTCTTTATCAACTCTTTATAACTAATAGACTTAAGCTAAAGAACAAGTCTTTACTAACCCTTAGGCCTTTGTAACTAATAAATTTGACTAATACTCTAAGTCTTTAATTAGTAAATGTAATTAGTAAATATGATTAGTAAATATAATTAGTAAACCTGATTAGTAATTATGCATATGCATATTTTTATGTATATAAACCCTATAAAGTAACCTTACGCCTTATAGGGTTTCCTTATAAGGAGGGGCAGAATTTTGTACCCCCCGTGGGTTCCCCCGTGGGGAGGACCCAAAACTCCGTGGGGCCCCATAGGGCCCCATGGAGCAGCCTAAAAGATATTATAAGTTAAAAAAGCTAAAAGAAAACGAAGCTTTGCTAAATAAAACATTTGCTAACAATCGATTAAAAAAGTTTTACGTGCGATATACTTTCGAAGCGTTATTACTTCGCTTTAAGCTTTAAATAAAAAGATTTTTAAAACAGCTTTTATTAAGTAAAGTAGCCGAATCCGGCTTTTAAATCAAGCGCTTAAATAGATTTATTATTCGATTACTTAGTTTTACGAAAAAGTAACGGAGCTAATACGTAAGAATCTTTATAAGCAATAATAAAAAAGCAATAAAAAGTGATTAAATTATAAAAGCATAATTATTCGTAAAAGAAAAACGAGTTTAAATTTGATTTTTAATTTTTTTTTATTTAAGTTTAGTTTTTTTTATTTTCTTTCTTTTTATACTCTTTTTATTTCTTTCTTTGTATTAAAAAGCTTTACGTTATTACACTTATATGCTTTCGATCTATTATATACGAGCATATCATATATATAAAGCGGACTTTATTCGAAGGCTGATCAAGAAAAGCATACGAAAAATTTATTATATTAACTATTTAATAAACTGCCGATACGTAATAAAAAACCTTTTTAACTTTACAATTTAAAGCTAAATGAAATAATACAAAAGCTTTTCGCAATACTTTAAGTATTGCTTTTACTTTTCGAAGTTTTATTAATATTATTACGACTCGAACCTTTCGAAGAATTACCGGTATTATCGCGGTTAAAAGCTTAGCGAGCACTTCGGCGGAGCTTCTTCGCAATAAAAAGTATTAACGATTTCGAAGATGAAAATAAAAAAGATAAAGACTTTTTAGCAATTTATCGTAATCAAATCGAAAGAGAATTACAAAAGGTTCGTAATATACACTTACGTAATTAAAGAAGTTACTTAACAAAGTATTGTTTCGATTTATTATAATTAAGATTTAACGTAGTAAGTTTAATAAAGCTAAATCAGCGGTAGCAGCGACGGCAAGTAAGCGTAACGCTAAGACGAAATTTAAGCTAGCTAAAAGACCTTTAGCATTAGCGGCGGCAAAAGAAATAGCGGCGATACGAGCTCGAAGAAAAGAAAAAGCATTATTAACTCGAAAAGCAAAAGCACGGCGAGTCTTTATAAAAAAGTTATTTGTAATTATACTTTTACGAAAAACGTCGTCGGCCGTTTTAGTTTTATTGTTTATAACCGTTATCGCATTTATTAAAACTATATCGGCGCTAACGACTTTTATAAAAAGCTATCGAATCGAAGTTAAAACGAATGTAAAACGAAAAGTAAAATAACTTACGAAGATGCAAGTTAACTTAATAGTATAGCAACGCTTGTATTTAATAAATTTATCGAAAAAAAAGATGCACCGACTCGCAGTATTATCGATAGTTTTGCTTGCGTAGCTTACGCATTAAAAGCAAATCGAAAACATAATAGTAAAAGATAAAGTTAATAAGTGATAATATTGAAAAAAAGATAAAAAAGTATAAAGTTGATATAAAAAGAAAGTATTATTTATAATAAGATCTCGAGTATATATTACCGCTTTTGTTTTTTTTATTACGTTACCGCTTTAAGCTCCGCGCTATTACCGATTCGGTAATGCGTCACTACTTGACCGCTTAAACCGACGCACGCTTGTCTTAATAATAATACTAACGCTCGAGTTAATATTATTCTTGTAATTAAATAAAAGTGCTATAAAAGATATAAAAAAAAGTTAAACTTAAGAGATTATCTTGCATTTTCGTTGCTATTCTTATCTTTTTTATTATATTACGTACGCTTTTGTATTAACACCGATCCGGCGATGCATCTTTAAATAGTACTTTAAGATCGTATTGCGATTATGCAATTCGGCTATATGCTCGTCTTGCAAACACAACTTTACCACTTTAATAAAAGGTGACTCGAAAGCGAGTTTGATTCGAAAGAAAGACGTATATAATAAAGTTGCGGCTTTGTATTTGTTTTGTTTATATATATAATACTAATGCTAAGCACTTTTATCACGTAGGTGCGCTGCATGCTTTAGCTTTGCTAAGCACGTAGTTAAGTTACGTAGTTAAGTCACGTGTAAGCTCTTATATAAACGAGTAGTTAGTTCTTCTTTAAACTAGCATTACATCATTACACAATATAATACACGTACTCACAACACACATTCGAGTGTCCTTCGATCGTCCTTTTTCTCTCCTTTTATTCACTTACGATTCTACCATGACTATATTCACATATATCTTTTGATTTAACGTTGGGTATATGTCGGAGCTTTTTCCCTCCACACTATCACTATCTTTCTATGTATGTATATCTTCATCCGAGTCTTCCGCCTCCAATTCGATGGCGAGCCTCTTCAGAATCTCAACACCCAGGTCCAACACCTGCTTTTGCTCGGCCTCCCGGCCAGGGGGCGCGCGCGTGGCTTTGAGCGTAGTCACCGCCCTCTCCGCCATGGCGATACGCTCCTCGAGCTCGACCTCGTCGTTGTACGCCACGGTAACCCGCGCCGAACACTTGACCAGCAGACTCGGCGACATGTGACTGATCAGCTCGGTGCAGATATTCAGCGAGTCCTGCTTTCGGTCGGCATCCAGATAAGAGCGGGCGTTCTGTGCGAGTTGGATGTATCCGACCTCGGCGTCGGAGGCGCGTCTCCTCTCGTCGGCGGCGCCCGTCCCGTCGGGGTTCTCCGGGGTGAGCGTCAGCTGTCTCCACAGGTCGTCGACGGCTGCCGAGGCGCGTGCGACTTGGGCCTCGATGGAACGGATGCCGCTGCCTTCCATGACTTCTACCATGTTCCGGAGGCCGTGGCAGAATTCCTGCGAGCCTGATCGGCATCCTGTTGTCGCGTTAGCGGTGATCCCAAACCCCCCTTCCCCCTTCGCCCTCCTCCCCGCTCATCAACATACCAGCATAGGGTGCACCATCGCTGTCTAGCTTCTGCATCGCCGTGAGAACGTCGAACGACTTGGACATCATCTGGTCAAAGAGCGTGAGAAGTGACTGGAGGCCGACGGCCGTGTCGTACCCCCCTTGCGTGATGTCGATTCTGGACAGTATCTCTGCCTGGTCCCACAGCGCCCCGACTTGCCGTTTCCGCTCCTCCAAGAGCGCGATCACCTTATCGTAGTCTGCCTTCTGCTGCGACCTCCTTGCAAAATCAGCTCTGTCTGCAGGTCCCATCCTCAAGACATTGTTCAGCATGATATGCGCTAGGCTTCTCAGCTGGATCGCTTGCTGGTACTCTTGCGGGTCCATGATGGTTCTCCATGGACCAGCCTTGCTTTTGTCTTTGGTCGAGTACAGGTCGGCTATCTGCCCATTTCTCCTGATCGGGCCTGGCTTGGCCGTCCTGTAGCTGCGGTATCGGAAGTCCCAAAAGTCGGCCTGGTGGATGCCTTCGTAGAACTCTGCCTGTATCGGCCTGAAGAAATCGTGCGTCGGAATCGGAGGCTTGGTCAATACAGGATCGGAGCAGAGGTCTGGCATCGGAGGCCGGTACAGGCCCAGTCCCAGCGGTGGCGAGAGGCCTTTTTCTGTGACATTCTGCAAGCAGCCGCCCCAAAGCTGCAGCGGTGTTAGCGACGGGAAGATCCAGTGGGGGCTAGTACACTCACGGCGGACTCCATCGACAGGCCCAGCTCAGCGCACTGCTCGTCTAGGAAGTACGGCTCGTCCATGTATGGGACGGTGTCTGGGTGCCCTGACTGGACCTGGTAGCGTTGCCGCTTCGCCAGCCCGTAGGCGTGCATCATCTCGTGCATGATGGTATTGGCAATCTCGAACTGCAGAGTCAGACGGTCCGCGTCGTTGAGGTCTTTTCGGAGGAGCAACGCCACTTTCTCATAGGACAGAAACAGGTGACAGCTGTTGGTATATCTATTCCAAGTTGAATAGCCGTCAACCCTCTTGGAGCCGCTATATTCGTTATTGTTATATGCACGATCCATGGATGCGAAGCCCCAGGCCATATCCGCGAGCCCGTGGTACTGATGGAAGGGGGGAGTAAGCATACATACAGATCAGTGTCTCGGAACGTTGGATGGCGGGTATTCTTGTTTTCTTAAACTTACCTGCTCGAGCTCTTCTTTGTATGCCTTGCATTCTGCGAAGTTGTCGGGGAAGGGCGGGCGCAATATGAAATTTCGGTGTTTTGTGGGATGGTTTTGTTCGCCGAGCATCGCGGCAGGCGGGTAACTGTTGGGATCCACGGGCAATTCATCTCCCAGCATGAATGCATCGAACTACAATAGTGAGCGATGATCAGTTGAGTGGTTTGGCTACATGGCATGTTCAGGGACTTCCCGTCGCCAATTTGATATTCGATGTTGAAACGAGTGTCAAGATTCTGGCGGAACTCACCCATGGATGCTCCTGTTTGAACTGTTAGCCTATGATACTGGACAATATACTGCAGCACACTAATTGCAGAGCTTTGCTTGCAAGGCGGTGATACATACATGTATAGTCGACAGTATTATACTTGCCAACACCAGTGAAGGCTGGAGGGTATCCCAGGCCTGTATTTCCAGGTCAGCAAACGATCAGCTAGACAGCTCGGGGGCTGCCAGTGTTTGAAACTCTTGTAAGTTCGAACCCTTTGGATGAAAAGACTCCAGATACTTACGAGATCACAACTGCCATGCCACACTCCGTAGGTTACTCTGGTGCCGTCGTCATTCACTTTTCCCTCGCTATCACCTATTTCGCGGGCACGATCATCAGTTCACGACATCCAATTTGCAATTCAACACCGGAGAATCCATGCATACGAAAATATGCGACAGAAGTGGTCTTTTGACACAGGGCGCCGCTTACAAATGGGATACAAAACTCCGCCCGGCTCCACCGTACTCCATCTGTGTCTTGCAAGCATGGGGTGTATCGGACAGACGGCGTTAGGTGCCTTTAGTTGTCGGGGAGTAAATACCTCGCGATCCAAAAGAGCCGCGCTCGAATTTCCTTTCATGAGAGATGTCTGGAATTTCAGCAGGTCAGCGATTGCAGATTCAAGCCAGTCAGTGATTGACCTCGGGGAGCTGTATACACCAGGCTATGAGGCGCCAGAATCATGCTACTTACCTGGATATATGATATATTGAATGCTTTTCGGTAGACTTCATCTGAGGTACCCGGTGGAAGGAACGGGATGGGCGTAAGGAAAGATTTCAAGGTCCCAGGGTCGGTGAAGTTGAGAGTGTCGTTGTATTGCAGCAGCTGCGGTCGTATGTGGTATTTCAATGCGAATTCGGTCACTTTTAGATTGCCCGGGTATGGAAACAAGCCCTGATAGATGGTTAGCAACGTGACAGCATCACATCGGGATCTGAAGAATGTCCTTGGCGAAGATTGTGACGGACGCACGCGTAGGAGAAAGAAGCAAGGTCTTGACTTACCGGATTGACGGGAAGACTTGAGATAGTAGTAGGTGGCCGCTCACGCAAAGGCGGAAAGGGGTTAATGCGGAGCCCTCCCTTTCTCGGGACTGGAATTTCGTAGTTACTCATATTGGCAAGACTATCTCCATATAAAACCTTGAGTTTGTCAGGTTTCTACAGCACAATTCAAGATAAGTTGCTGACTTCGGATAGCGCTTGTGCTTTATGGAAATTGTCGGTGTCCTTTGTTAATGAAACAGACCTTCTTAGATGGATATCAATAACAAAGAAAATGAAAGTATAGAAAATTGAGCCCCCGGATGCGGTTCTCAGCAAGCGGTTAGATCGTTATACGTACAATTCGTTATGATTTTCAGGCTTACACCCGCTCGACAAAACACCGAGCCTAATGCGAAGCCATCACTTGGAGATTTCCAGCGATTCTTAGATTTGATTGCTTTAAATCATTGAAATATAGATCAATGAAAAATTCTCGAATAATTATTTGAAAGTTTTAATACTTAGGATCACAACTCTTCGTATGTTATTCAACTCATTCCGGAAGGGCGAAACGCTGGTACTCCTACGATCATCACTTCTCGTCAAGCATGCTAACCAGTCCGTCCCGGCGAAGTCTAAGAAAATCAGGTCAGGAAATCAAAGAAATAATCGCGAGGCAGAGAATCTTACTCCAATTGATCTCGGGCTTGGTCGCACCATCTCAAAAACAAATGAAACCTGTGCCGAGTGACGGCGACTTTGCCGCCCCATGGCCAAGAACTCCCGAGAAACAGAAAAGGCGCCAACACATCATACAGACCGCTCTCATATTTGATGGGGGCGAACGAGTTCGCCTTCTGTAAGGCAGCTTTGACATCGGGCTGGTTCATCAGACTTCTGATCTGCGCGAAGTAAGGCTCGGGGTTCTTGTAGAGAGCATCGTACTCTTGCTGAAGGGAAATTTCTCCCCAGCCGTTGTCAATACGGGGCAGAAGAACTCGTCCGGATCTCGATTTTCTATCCGTGCTGGAGATAGGCAATTATCTAATCATTTCCCATGGGCATCCTGAGCGATACTTACTATCTGTACAACTGGCCAGTGTAGTGCATGTAACCGAGGAACGATTGAAGCTTCGCTAGCGTGAGAATTTGACCTGAAGGGCGTCTCTTTCTGTAGATATCTAGCAGTGCAGATTCGGTCATGTCGCGATCTGGGCCTCTAAGTAACAGAGCCCGAGATAGCGCCTTCCAACTGCTGGGTTCGTGCCTGGATCTGCTTGATCTGCTTGAACTGCTTCCGGACAAGCCTTGTCAGATGCTTGTTTTCCGGGAACCACTTCGCCTTGGATACCAGCCTACTTCTCTGTTGAACGTATAGGGCTCTGAGAAATAATACCTTGTTTTCATTCCCAGACTTCTCTGCAATACTTGATTTAATGAGTATTGATTGGAGAGCTCCTCTGAGGGAGCGGTAATCATCTCGTGCTTCCTTCATCTCACGCGATTGATGCTCCACCACTCTCGAATGCCGGTCATTTCGGACATGATTTCGTGGAACTTGGTATCAAAGACTAGCATATCTTGTAGATCAATGCGTTCAAGACTCTGTTCAGGTATCTGATCCGATCTTTATCGAATCTTGGTAACACTGGTGCTCCTGAGGAAGACACGGACAAGCTCGGCGAAACGGGTGGAGTAGTCCATACGAAAGACTCGAGATGATCCGAGGATATACGCAATGTTTGAGCATGGCTCGAGTCTGGAAGGCGGTTTGCGATTGCTACGTGGAGGGCTGATCCGTTCTCGTATATTTGCATTCCTGTGATGGCGATATCAACATCCGTCCGAATGCTTTCGACGTCGTCTTCGTCATATTTGTTCGGGGTCGCTATAGGCTGGCTGGCGCATCGCACAATGTTCTCGGAATCCAAACCACGCCTGTACTTTGCGCTCGACATTTTTAGGATGTTCAGCGAACGAGGCACGGAAGCCTTTTTCGTTGGCGAGGCTTTCGGAGACCGCCGCGAGCTCCCTGCGGCCTTTCTGGGTACATTTGCGTTCCCCATGTTCCCAAGATATTTCAAAATCTGAATTGAAAGGTTCTGTTAGGTTGGAAGGCAGCAAAGACTCTGGGGTTGCTGAAGGCAGATCTGTCAGCCAAGAGATTCTTTGTCGTGATTATGGTAGATGCAGCTGCAGCTGCAAACGGGCACGCAACAATGAGACTTTGTTTTGAAAAATAGCTAGATTCAGGAACCGAGTTCAAGCGGATCTCCATAACTACAGTGATTCTTCTAAGAACGTTCCTCAAGTCTCAGCGTGTGGGTTGATCGAGAAGAACAGATTATTAGATTTGAAAGACATGCTTCGTATTTTTTACTGAATTGCCGACTACCACTTTGATACCGAGATTGGGGACAAGATGGACTTCACTGCTATTGAAATATATATATATTACTTCGTACGTCATAAAATATATATTACATATAAATTTGGTAAATGCACTTATGGCTGTACCCGACTTCCAATGATCATATCTCCGACACCTGCATAGAATTCTTTCTCTACTCTCCGCCGTAATATACATGTATATATGTATCTATCTATCTATCTATGAACCCGAGCTCGAGGATATAAACAGGGACTCGGTTAGAGTCCGTGGTTTGGTTCAGCTCATTGATTAGTAGCCCCAGACCCCGTGTGTTCCAAGTTGGTGCGGGGTAAAGTCAATTGTTGATCCCATCCATCTATCAACCCATCCGTCCGACCGCATGACATTGGGACAGCAAGCATCACCCCTTTTCTAACCTGGTACTGGCTCTGGTTCTAGACTCGTTATGGCCTGCTACTCCGCGGAAGAGGTGCGCAATGCAACGTGGATCGCGGAACAGCTGCAATGCTACAATGCTATTGTGCTACATGATATACGTTGTCAATAACCTGCGTTACCTGCATGCCGATCCCGGCGGAACCATTCCGAGCCCGAGGAGCATCTTCCACATGTTAAAGAAGAGAGGAGGAGCGGGCAACAACAACATTTTAAAGGGGGGGTTGTTTAAGCGAGCGGGACAAACCTCGGCAAATTCCTTGACCAAAACAAAGCCGGAAAAAAAGGTAGCGCGAGCAAAATAAACAAAACCAAAAAATGTCAAAAACTCAACTGGACGCCCATGTACTATTATAGGGGTCCAATCTACAAACCTAATTGAATAGGTTATATTGGGGTATCAAACTGGATTTTGTACTACGACTACGGATGTTACTGGCTCATGGTATTGAACCACTGAGCCACACCTACCAGTTTGATATAATCGATGCTAGTGTTTGAGGTTATGAAGGGGCTAGTGGGATTTTGGGTCGGGCCGGGCTGAGGCGAGGCGAGGTGGGGTTGGGTTGTGTATGCCCTCTACTTCGTATTCCCGGATTGTCACTCAAAGTAGTTTCGTATAAATCTAGCCTCGCGCCCCTCGAGAAGACGAAGCAGGAATGAAAAGAACGTAAAACAAATCCATGATGGCAAACATCACTCTTAAGCCCGATGCCACTGCCTCGTCCTACGACTATATCGTCTGCGGGTCGGTACCTCAGAAGATTCCGGCATCACGCTGAGTGTATCATCTGACTTGTGATCACAGAGGAGGAACTTCCGGATCTGTTCTGGCCGCTCGTCTTGCTGAGGACCCTAACCTCTCGGTTCTCGTCATCGAGGCGGGCCAGCACAACTCACTTCTCGAGAATACGTTGATGGTAGGGGGATGGTAAGCAAATAGCACCCGCAGGAAATCGGACATTCCACTGAGTGTTTTCTGCACAGGTCGAAGAATTTTGACACGGAAGCCGATTGGAACATTACTACTGAGCCATCCCCTGGAGCTAATGGACGACAGGTCAAAGTCAGCCGAGGGAAGTTCCTGGGAGGGTCTAGTGGTTTGAACGGAACTCTGTGCATTAGAGGAACACCCCAGGACTACGATGATTGGCATATACCTGGATGGAGCGGAGAAGAAGTCTTTGGATACATGAAGAAGGTATAGAGGCCTGGAGCTGATCTCGGTCAGCAGCATTGTGCTGACATCTTGAGACAGGCGGAGAATTTCCACGGCAAAGAATGGTTCAAGGCGGATGAAGAGGCTCACGGTCACGAAGGATTACTTCATACCGAGCCTCATGACCTAGTACGTGTTCATCCACTTCCCAAAGAATGAGTCTGTGCTAAGCGGTAGAGGCTCCAATCTCAAATATGATTCTCGAATCCATGGCGGATCGAGGTCTGCGACGCCAGGACGATATGTTTACCACAGGCGACAACCCGCACGGGTGTGGCCATGCTCCAAGAACAGTCTACAAGGGAGACAGAACCACTGCTGCGGATTACTTTGTCCACAAAGGACCCAATCTTGCGATCAAGACCGACACCACGGTTGACAAAGTAATCTTGGAGGGCAGTGGATCGGATCTCCAGGCCACCGGTGTGAAGGTCATGGAGAAGGATGGCAGCACCAGGGAGATCAAGGCGAGGAAAGAGGTCATCATTTCGGGTGGCGCGTACTGTTCTCCAGCCATCCTCTTACGATCGGGCCTTGGGCCTAAAGCAGAGCTAGCTGAGCACGGCATTGACTGCAAGGTTGACCTTCCAGGCCTCGGCAAGAATCTGATGGATCATATGGTGAGCCTCGACTCTGCCCTTATGGAACACCACTTGCTGATCAGTCCCCAGATTGTCTTCATTTACTACCTCACCAAGACGCCCGGACTCACGAACGACCACCTTCTGTACAAGCCAGACGCTCTCGGGGAAGCCTACCGCCAGTGGAAAGAAGAGAAGCGCGGACCTCTGAGCACTTTTCCCTTCGGAGCGTTCGGCTACGCCCGTCTCGACGCGCGGCTCAAGCATGACCCCCTCTGGAACTCCGCTGCACGAGAAGAAGGCCGTGACCCGATGGGTCTCACCCCGTCGCAGCCGAACGTTGAATTCTTCTCCACCGAGTGCTACGGCGGACCCAAGCAGTACGCCGACTACCCCGACGGCGACACGACACATGCATTCAGTATCATCGCGGAGCTGTTCGCGCCGCAGTCCCGCGGCTCCGTCACACTCAGATGCCGAGATCCCACGGCCAACCCCGTCGTCGACCACCAGTACCTGTCCTCAGACCTCGACCTCCTGGTGCTGAGCGAGGCCTGCCGGTTCGCGAACGAGATCGTCACCCAGGGCAGGGGGACCCGGGATATCGTGGACGGCAGCTGGCCTGCTCACCTCACCCACCACGCGCACACCCGGCGAGAGGACTGGGAGCCGTATGTCCGCGACAACGCCACGACCTGCTATCACCCGGGCGGAACCTGCAAGATGGGCGTCGGGGAGGATCCCATGGCGGTCCTGGATGCCGAGCTGCGCGTGAGAGGCGTCCGGGGTCTCAGAGTCGCGGACACCAGCGTGATGCCGCTGCTGAACCAAGGCCATACTCAGATGCCGGCCTATGCGATTGGCGAGAAGGCGGCGGATCTGATCAAGGGCTTAAGTATCTCTGGGACGACGAGGTTATGAGGACCTTGAGATGCAGAACAGGGCAGATTTGAACGGTAGTGAAATTGGGGTTCTTTTTTTTTTTTTTTTTTTTTTTGGACTTAGGGATCGGTCTAGAGGATAATACGTTCAATTCGAACACGATGGGCCTCTTCAGCTCTTATTCACTTATTCAATCACTCTCTCACTCTCTCACCCTCTCACCCTCTCACCCAAACCCAGCTTCTCCTCCTCTCCCTCCCCTCAGCTCACGCAACCCAGCTCACCCAGACCTCCCCAACCCCTCCGAACCCCCCACCCCTCCCACAGCCCAAAAAACCCAAACACAATCCAAACCAAACCAACCCAAACTAAGCGCACATGAAAACCGACTAATCATCGATTTCATCAGCTCAAAAACCTATCCCCCGTGGAAATGTGTCCTTAAGTGGGGAATACCTACCTACGTACCTACGTACCTACCTACCTAGTTCTGCTCTCTGACCACCTAATACCGACGGAGTACGGAGCGGAGGTGTCAAGGGTATAGGCAGCTAGCTCACTGATCGGTGCAAAGTCGGTCAACTTAACTGCTAGGTGAGGTATATATATATCGAGGGGGACTGATGAGATGATCGGATTGGTTTGGTTTGGATCGGATTGGTTTGGCGGCGTACAAGATGTATGTTACGGAATACTGGTTAAGAAGAAGAAGAAGAAGAAGAATAGAGAGAGAGAGAAGATATATATTAGCGATAAGATAAAATCCGGCGATACCAGCAGGTTTGGAATATGAAAAAGAGCGAGGGGGTGGGGGGGAGGGGGGGGGGGGTTGGACGGGATCTTCAGATACTCCGATAAAACCAATCTAGCTAACGAGCCAAATGAACCCTCTGACTACCCTACGTACTGCTTGCGAATGAGTTATCTTAATTTAGTCTGGTCTAGTCCAAGTCCAACCGAACCATACATGTTCGTTTCCTGCTTCGCTCGCGCGGAGTGATGACCCAGTTCGCGAAATACCTCCCCTCGTCAACGTTCCAAGACTTTCTATTTCCAGACTCTTCGCTCGCCGGCGGACTTTACGTACCTTAGTTGCATCCATCATTCTATCTCGTGAAGGAAATTTCCCTCCCGGTCCCGTCTCATGACGCTTACTATTCCAAAAAAAAAAAATTCGGAGCGTGAAAGACAGACAGACTACCTAGGTAAGGCAAGGTATGGCTAGATAGAGAGATGCACTAGATGGTGGGTAGTTGAGTAGTAGGGCGAAAGAGTGTCTTTACGTGAATGACCACTATGTTGAGCCCGCTTGTTTATAAACCCTCCATTTTTCCTTCTGGGAGGAGGACTTCTCATTTTTAATTCAGTACGTTGCACGCAATGTGTCTCCGACCTTGTGGATATTGATAAGATCACCACATATACTCGGCTGGATTGGGGTGTCGAGATGGCACAGCCTGGTGCATCGTCAATGGAGGCGTCTGACCCGACTCCTGGTCAGAAGATATTGGACAAGATCGCTAACAAGGAGTAAGTTTCACCCATCGTATATGATGCTTCACACACACACACACATATAGAGAGAGAGAAAGTGAGCAAAGCAGATCACTCACGTCGATAGATACAAATGTTCGATCTGCACAGATCTGATCTCGCTCAGAGAACCCGTCTGGTCGTGCGAAGCCTGCTACCACGTCTACCATCACGATTGTACAGAGAAATGGCTCAACTCGTACAGCCGAGGCTGGTGGCCATGCCCCGTGTGCAAGACGTTGAGGGAGAAAGACGTGGACATGGAGCCACGGTGCTGGTGCGGCGAGTTCCCTTACAACGGCGGCAAATTTCCCACGAATTCCTGTGAGACGATCTGCCTCAAGGTCCAACAATGCACCGTGCCCGGCTCGTTCTGCAACAAGGTTTGTTCGCAGATGTGCCACCCGGGCCCCTGCGATGAGGTTGTGTGTATGGACAGCTGCCGTCGGAGGAAAGCCGTACTTGACGCCACGGTAAAGGATGTACAGTCACGAGTTGCTACCAGAGTGCTGCGAACCCCATCGGAGGTGCATGTACCTCAAGTCGTTCACGTATTCGACATTGAGAGTAGATTCGACATTGAGAGTAGCCAAAGTCTCGATCTGACGGGGACTCCACCAGCTCAACGAGCTCTTCCACCGGGCATCAGGCCCGTCTGCAAGCCATCATTCGTGGCTCACCTCTTTATCCAGGGCATTCTCTTAGTGTGGGCTTTCGACCATGTTCCCCGTGCAATCAAACCATTACAATATCCAGGCTATACGGAGGGGCGCAGAAGATCCGAATTGGTGCTGGCCATGGTGGGTGGGACACTAATTAGTGGCGTCTCAGGCCTGCTCTTCGCCTTCAGATTCCTCGCTCCTTTTTCTCATAATATATGCGAGCGTTTGAGGATCTGGCGCCACACAACTGACCGGAACGTGGTCCGCCTGTTCCTTATCTCCTTCGCAGCTTGCGCAGCCCTGGCTTTCCCTGTCCTGTAAGCATCAGTACCGCAGAATTTGAGCTGAGACTAATTCGGAGGGTAGATTCTGCGCCCTTCCCTCGGCTGCATTTAGCCATCAGATGGAACACAGCTGCCTTGGTTTCGACACTCATGTCAACCTGGGCGACCGTAAGTTATGATCCCCGCGCCTCCAACATGCCTCCCCCCCCCCCCTTCTTTTTTTTTTTTTTTTTTTTTTTTTTGCTAACTGAATCAATCCAGTCGGACGGCCGCCGACGGAATTTCGGCTCCCGGATCCCACCGCGCGAAACAAATCAGCAAGCCATCCCCGGACCGCCCCCGACGAACTGTTCGAGATCAAGCAAGCCTCCGATTACGGCCTCGGTCCCCACGAGGGCTTCCGCAAGTTCGTCCGCATCAAGGGGAAGCTCCACGGGACCGACATGGCCATCGATTTTGATCTCCGCGAGCAGCGCTGGCGGATGCTCCGGGGCACCAAGAGGCTCCCGCCGGTCCGGAGCGGGAGCTGGTACGCTTCGGGAAACCACGTCACGCTGCCCGAGCTGCGACTGCAGGTGCCGAACCTCTTCTACTTCTCCCAGGCCTGCTACTACCAGCCCTTCATGACCGTCTTCCGCACCGATAACATGACGGACGCCCAGGTGGAGGAGCAGAGCGGGAAGCGGTGGAGCGGGACCAGCGAGAAGAACGTGGTCATGCGGACGATGAATTCAGGGACGCCGTGGTACCTCGATGATCTGGGGGTGTGCGCCCGGACCGCGGACTACGATGTTGATGTCGTTGTTGCTGGAGATGGTGGAGATGGTGGGAGTGTCGAGAGGAGGCCGGGTCTGGGAGATGATCTCATCGTTCCGTTGGGCTTGATGGCTGCGCTACGATCTGACCAACCTTTCCACACGGTAGGCTGCCGCTTGTAATCCTGGATCTTAGACGAACGGAATTTTGTACCAGCTAGCTATAATTACTACTTACTATCTTGCAGCTCCAGTATCTTGGGAGTAGCGGTTGACGTCTGAGAAGCCTAGTCAATATCCAGTCAGCATTTGAAAGGTAGGAGATTTTTCGGGAGAGTGGAGAGTTAGAGATATGTTGCAGAAAGAGCCTGGGTCAAGCAAGGCCATTGAATTAAGTGCGATCCCCAAGACATACCATAGATGTACTCGAAATCATGGACAACCACAAAACCGTCAACCTCACAGCGATGTTTGACCATCGTTATTGCGGAATCTAGGAGCATGTTTATACATCGACAAACAACCTAGTAGCATTTAGCAGGTCTTCAAGAGTAACATTGGCGATTTGCAAACTGACCATATCAGGGCTCAGATCCGCATCTGTGATCGAATCGATAGGCTGCTGTACTGCCACTGCATAGCTAACCACCGACACATTCAAGCTTACTTAGAGAGGCAGAAGGACCGACCAAAAGTCACAACCTCAAGCTCATCTCTCCTAGTTCCAGCGCTTGCTCCACCCATCTATCATCGCATTACTCCGCACGTCTCTTCCCACATCACCCCCAACTTCCTCGGACAGGACATTGCGCGGTAGTTTGCAGCAATCTTTGCTGCGCAAGAGGCTATCGAAGGATTGGCATAGTTTTTCAAAAAGCATTTCTTCCCGGATGGAATGCTTACCTCTTAGCTCGCGGCTACCCTAGAAGCGATAAACGCGATCTATTTGAAGCTTTCCAAATGCAAATCCGCCCGCCCTTGGGGCGATCACAAACCGGCTTGCCATACATACCGCGGCAAGCACCATACATACGTAGAAGAAGTATGGAGCAGACACAGGAGCGGATAACGTGGTAATTCATGCATTCGAGGAGTGACTGCTTTTGAAGCATCTTACAAGCTCATTTTGGAGCCGGGATCCGAGATGATTTTCTCGACCCATTAAGCAGCGGGGTATTCTCACTCCAACCATCTTCAATGACAGTTCCTCCTTCATCGTCAGTTTCGTGACTGCCCCTTTCGCTTGCCTGTGAGGTGTTAGCAACAATATTGCTGTATCTGTGATTAGGACATGTGATGCTTACCCCCACGATCGCGGCACTCTGCCTCTCCCTTCGAGCTTTGACCTCGAAACAAATACCCATAACCAATAAACAGCCCTGCAAGCACCCAGTAACCAAGAAAACGCCCCACGTACTCCAACCCTCGAGACCGAGTCTTGCCGCCAGACTCCCAGACCAAACAAAGCTTCCGGGAGTCTGGATAAGCATCATGGGAATGCTCAAGCTCCCAATATGACCCAGGTGCCAAGTCATCCAGATCTGCGGGATGTATTGTATTCCGGCCAGTGCTGTAGCCATGATTCCCAATGTATTGGCCCATGTGCCTAGGTGGTGCGGCCGTGAGATGACCAGAGCCATGCTGATGATTATGACAACCAGACCGTGCAGTAAACAAAGGAATGCCACCGTGACAGCCGTCCGCCAGGTGTACTGTTTTTCGGCATCGTTATTCGGCAGCGTTGCGCCTCGAGGGAAAAAGATCAGGAAGAGAAGTAAGCTGCTCCGCTGTTTAGTGAGCTGTTTACATTCCATCGGCCCAGGATGCCTACATGACGCTGAAGCAGAACCATTGCACGCCAACCTGAGCAATCCCTAGCAGACCCGCTGCACACTCGAATGTGCTGATGGTCTTGCAGCATCCCACATCTGCTCTAGAAGCCGGCAGTACCAGTATATTGGCGAAGGCGCATGTTCCAGAGGTCATTCCGAGGAGGATAAAATAAGGCGATATTCCTTCAGAGGTGCCGCGCGCGATGATTCGATAATGCTGAGGAAGGTAGGAAACAAGAATGCCTAGGAGTATAAAGCTATTTGGCTTGTCAGGCGAGAGCTCCTGCAGATACTTACACTGTCGTTGGTTGGTATGTGTCTACTCACATGGACAGTGTCAGGTTGAGGTAGCTCGGCGCCTGGAGCTTTTCGCAGCGGCTGGTGGCAAGCTCGATAGAGAGGTCGCGAAAGAAATCCATGTTCAATTTCGTCAAAGCCGAGATGGCTTAGGGGTTGATGTCGAGGTGTTCTAGAGAAAGTGAGGCCTTGATGCTGGGTGACAGCGAGGGCCTACACATTTAATTCACGAGGTACCTGACGTGTGGGGAAGCACTAAAACGCGGCCGCGTCTGAGTCCCACTTTACCCCTTTCCCCAAGCGAGGCAAAAGTCAAAGTCAACAATGAGAGGTTGTCTCTGCATTTTGCACTCTGTATGCCTGAGAGCTGCACATAAACTACACTTTCCAGCCTGGCCTGGATGCTGTTCACTAATTTTTCTAGTACATTCTGGAGGTTTTCCAACACAGATGATCACTAATTCGTCACTTCCTTTGCAAGTTTTTGTCGAATGTCGCAGGTATCACGAGTCGAGTTCTCCACCCCTTGCCTCTCTCTCTTAAAGATTCGTCTACGGTACAGCAGCGCTGTGAAGTACATAATCACATCGTGCGGCCAGCATATTTGTCCCTAGTCGAATTCCATCTCATCCGTTTTTATCATAACTATTCAGGGCGTTAATCGTACCCATGGTCGGAATACAGGAAGAGGCAGTGGGTCAAACGGAACTCGGTCCTTGGGGATGATCGACGCATGGGGATAGATACGCTGACCGTCACCCGGGACCCATTGATTTGGGAGCGGGTCTGCAAGGCAGCCACTAATTGAACAGTAATACCGTAACAAACGCACCTCTTACACGCCAAATCGAGCACCACCTTGCAATTATTTAATAATAATACAAAAACAGCACGAATGCGGAGGGTTCTTACCATCCCTCAAGTTCCAGGATCTACGTAGTAACTCAGACCTTAGCTGCGCGCCTTAATTAAAAATCTCAGAATTAATCGTTTATCAGTTAAATTTTGTTCCGCTGAGTTGCAATTCAAATATCAAATCATAGCCAAATGTGTTGAGTTGTACTGTTTGCCGCTCGTCGTCGCCACTCGCCATGTGCTGCCAAAACAGGAATTACGCATGTATGGACGGATACGGACCGGATGCGAGTAACGTCTCGGCGAGGCCGAGAATTCGGCAGTCAGTCGTTTCTTTGCAGTCGGGAAAGCTTATCTCGCGAAGGGTCCTGGGTCGCCAAGCCTCGGGATTCCAGTTTTCTCATATACTACGTTCTCATATACTTCTCATATACTTCTCATATACTACGTATACTACGTATACTGTCGTTGTACAACTAATCCTGATTCACTTTTCGGAGCTCGAAAAAAAATGGATCGCCGAAGTTCCAGAGCCCGGAGAATTAAGGGATGTACGACTACCAAATCTGCCGGCCCAGGGTGGAAAGATGGGCGGCGCCCCATCTTCTGCCCAAAACAAAGATTCAGTAAGTCGAAATCAAGCTCATATTCCGTTGGCTAGATTTGCATGGATGGATAGCTCGCCATCTGTAAGCTCCGTATCAGTCCAATTTAAATGATCGAATAATCAGTCTTTAAGTCTGCGTTATCGTGGAATCCGGCTTGACGGGATTGTAGACGTGTTTGCGGGCTAACATGGAATTGTGAGCAGCTTGGTAGTATTTTTGGGACCGGGAGGATATTTATATATCATTTTATAGTGGTTTATTTATGAGTCGAATACCTATGTGATCGACAGAGTCAGCCATTGCTTCTTTTGAAATAAAGTTTATTACTTCACGGTGAGTAGACCCTGATCTCTGGCTCTTTTTCGGTGGAACCTGGTTTGTAAATATTGTTGGGAATCCGTACGTACTAGGGTCGGATATATAACTATTTGCAAGACGAAGCGTGTGGGAAGGTCGGCTTCGTCTCCCTGATAAGCTTCTGTATTGCTCTTGCGGCAAGTACTAGATCATAGCTATCCCTACGTATACCGAAATATTTCATCATGATATAGGGTCGATGTCATGGAAACACATGATTCCCAGTCAGCAAATAAATTTCTACATGGATAAACATGATCTAAAGAACAACTTTTCTGAAGTTCATCTGCCTAATACAACGAGACTACCGAGATGCCTCTTTCCACCCATCGTCCAAGAACTTCCACACCATATATACTGATCTGTAGCCGGGACTTCGTGTGAGTTGCAACCTGCTTCGGTAAATTTTTGATATGGCCATGTCTCGGGCATCAGCGGATCTCGTTCGACGGCCCGAAAGCCAAGTTGGGGATCCGCCGCGAAATATAGTGCTTGACCAAACGACGTTCTTCCATCCATGCTCCTCCCATGCTCCTCCCATACTCCCACGGTCCCATGATCCCATGCTCTCATGCTCCCATACCACGGTATATCATTTTCCGAGTCCCGGGTGTCCTGAACAGTCTCCACCCAACGGTAAGATAAGCAGCAAACAAATCCGGGAGGTGGAACGAGTCCTCGTGTTCCACCGTCCAGCGTTGTAATGGTGACGACAATGGAGAGTCCGGGGTAGGCAGATTGAAGTCGCATCCCTTCCCCCTGTGGGAGATTCCAATTTCGCCATGATATACACCGGCTTTCTCTATTAACGTCCAGTCGGTGCCGGCCAACCAAAAACCAGTACTCCTGGATCATCATCATTCGGAGCAGTGGAGTCCTCTCAAACTTGCAAACTTGGATGGCGTTCGGTCGGTCAATCAAGATTCCGCCCAAAAGATGGTGAGCATTAGTATATAATTACCCCCAATCTGTTTTTCGAATTCTCTAACTCGTTCCAAAGTCGCCCATCTACTCTTCGAAATTCGAATCCTATCGCTCATTCCAAATTCGGCCCCATCTTAGCCGAAGAGCCCCTACCTCTTAACTTCAAGACCAATCCATATCTTGTCTACCGCTGTCGACAATGAAAGCCTCTACACTTCTGATGCTGTTTGCATCTGCAATTAGCAAAATCAACTCTTCTGGTAATCAAACTACCAAAGCAACGCCTCATCCAACCAGATTCTGACTCCTCGCAGCTACCTCGCCCCATGGCGGACATGCTACTCCGAGTCTTCTGATCTTCTCCAAGACAGAAGGTTGGAGACACGACAGGTATGCACGCTCCCCATCCTGTAGTCGACTGTAGGGTCTTTTGGACAGCTGCTCATGTCAAGTCAAACAGCATCCCCAGCGGCATCAAACTTGTCACATCCATCGCGAGACAGAAAGGGTGGTCCGTCGCGGCCACCGAGGACTCGTCTGTTTTCACCGCACAGGGTCTGGCGAACTACACAACCCTGGTCTTCCTCCAGACGACCGGGAACTTTATGCAACGCAACGAGACCGACGCTCTCTACTCGTTCTTGCAGAACGGCGGCACTTGGCTGGGCGTCCACGCAGGTGAGTCTCCGACACACGATTCTGTCATAGGAGCCAGTAGCTTACAGAGTATCAGCTGGCGACTATGGAGATCTGATGCCGAAATGGTACGGCGAACTTGTTGGGGCCCAGGTAAGAAACAAGCGAACGAAATTCTCACGATCGGAAAATAAAGAAGGGAGAATCGCTGATGGACTCCCCTAGTTTGCCTACCACCCCTGCGTAACTGATGAACTATGCTCCGACAAGCAGCGCGAACTCTACCCTCCGGAGTAAAAGAAACTTTTCCCTTCCCCCAAAATTCAAAAACTCCAGAAAATTCCCTCTCCCACCCCTGCTGACACCCGGCTAATCTCCCCTCTCTTTCTCCTCGCAGCGGAGCCGAGCGACCCGACACCGTCAACCTGACAGACACAACCCACCCCTCCACGCGCCACCTCCCCCCCTCCCACCGCCGCACCGACGAGTGGTACACGTACAAGACGAACCCCAGTCTGAACGGCAGCGCCTACACCGTGCTCGCCGAGCTGAGCGAGGAGTACATCGACCAGTACACGCCGGCCGTCATCCGCATGCACCCGAACCACCCGATCGCCTGGTACCACCTGTTCGAGGGCCGGGCCCGCGCCTTCTACACCGGCATGGGCCACACGAACGCGAGCTACGCCGAGGACTACTTCGTCCGCCATCTGACCGGCGCCCTGGAGTGGGTTGCTGGCGTCGACGTCGACGTCGACAACGAGGGGCACTGAACTCTGATTCATATACACGAGATGGGCAAGACAGACTGACTGGTATTTTTTTTTCTTTCCGAATAGATGACCTACATTTCAACCCAGAATTAAATCAAACCAAGTTGATACGAACATTCATGTATTCCATCGCCATGTCTGCTCCGTGATTTCAGTGCGCCAATACGGAATTTCAATCGTCTAGATTAATCAATTAACCAATAATCAACAAAATTAACCGAACCGAAGCGAAGCGAGCCGCAAGAAAAAAAAAACCAACCTTCCCCGTCGCCCCCCCCCCACCACAACGACCGAACTACTACTACTACT